AAGTGGGCTTTCTATCTGTATGCCAAGCCTCTTTTTAACTATTACGCCCTCAAAGGACAAGTTTGCTGAATTCTCGCCTCTTGATGCTGGCTCTGGGAACAACTATTATATTTTTTGTCTAGAGTGCCGAGTAACCCATTCACTTACGTTTAGGGTTAATCGCGAAAAAGGGCTGACTTAAAGTGAAACCAGTGCTGTTAATGCTTACCACATTTACGACCAGCAGGTTTGGAGGGTTTATGGCCTCTTCGCTAGAAAAGGTGGGGGCACTGAATTGACGCTGTGGGGCGACAAAAACAAGTGTCGTATTGCTTGCAAAAATCTTCAGTGACCACCATACTCCACAGGGAACTTTATAGTGGCTCCACTGGGAAAAAGACTGTCGCAAACCTAGAGCGACGCCAGAAGCGATGTTATATTTATGATCACGACTCAGATTGACCCGTGCTTGACCCGTATAGATGAAGTTTCTGCAAAAAAGTGGTATTTTAGGGCTGCGATAGTTGAGCAGTACCAAAAATAGTTCTCTATTCCTAAATGGCAAAACATTTCGTCAAGTGCCTGCAACATGAATCTTTTCAGAGCTCATATTAGCATTTCAATTCCGAAAATTAAATCCGGAATGGTAAGCGTGGGAGAATGTCGCAGTTTTTGCAGAGAGCTTTTGGAATCCCTTTAGAAATATTTCTAATTTTGCCATGCCTACTTTCGCTCGGCGTGAATAGATTTTAGATTGCTAAGGCACTAACTTCTCGCAACTGCAATGCTATAAAGATTTTTGAACCCATTTTTCAGGGAGTTTCGAAGAACTTCATCGTAAAACCCGTGATGTCTTTCCTATGTGTTTTGAGGGTGCCAAAGTGATGGTGACTAAAGGACTCAGCTCTCACTTTCAGGTGTGCCCACTTAGACCTTTTCAAAGCTTACTGTTCCATGGTTATTTTCATTTTATTCTGAGTTTTTCATTTTCTGTTGCCTTCCAGGTTTCCCATACGCTGTCAATTTCTCCCACAAATACCGGGTATCGATTTGGTGCCACATACGTTGGCACGAAAGTTGCAGGGCCACAGGAACAGTATCCAATCTTTTTAGGAGACACAGATGTCTCCGGAAACACTACAGCAACAGTATTACATCAGTTTGGTAAGTAACTATGAAGAACACAGCAGTCGGTGTATTTTAAATTTTATGTTTTCAGGGGACAATTATCGTTTACGTGTACAAGCTCAGGTGCAGCAAAACAAAATTGTTGGAGCTCAAGGGGGGATTGAAAGAAGGTATCTCTTAACCTCTGTTATGCTTCTCAATTTGCCCTAATAATTTCGGCATCTTACGTTTTACTCTTTTCACAGCCGTTGTTACTTCTAACAGTGTTTGAAATGTTTTGAAATCCAAGTATATAATACATAACATGATTGAGGCTGTCGTCAGCGCGGCGCGCCAACCCCTGGCTTAAAACCTGTACATGAGAGGAGGGGGGGATAATGGAGTTCGTAGGTGGGATCTGATCTAGGGTAGGATCTAACATCGAAACTGGTATAATGGCGCAGGACGTCCTGGTCGTCCCGGTAACCCGGGAGCACCTGGAGCTCCTGGAAATCCGGGACGTCCACCACAACAGCCTTGTGAACAGATCACACCACCTCCATGCCGACCATGCCCTCCTGGACCGCCTGGACAGCCCGGGATAATGGGACCTCCAGGAGATGTTGGCGCAGTGGACCTCTGTCCTCCCTGGACCTGACGGCGCGGCAGGGCCCAGGATTACCAGGTCAGGACTAGGTGGAGCTCCGGGAGCTGGTGCTACCGGCTTGCAGGAGAAGATGCCGCAGTTTGAGCTGTCGCTCCCGAGAACGCGGACACTGGACCTCCTGGGCCGCCGGGACCACCAGGTGGAATGGGCTCTACAGGGGTTTCTGGACCACCAGGTTCGTTATCTTTTTTTAGAATGTCTTTAATGGATTGCTGTGCTAGGTTATTGCGTGACTTCCATTGCAGGCATAAGTGGACCAAAAGGACCACCAGGAGCGAACGGAGAACCTGGGGAGCATGGGCGACCTGGAATGCCTGGCCAGGCAGGGATGCCTGGACCGCCAGGAGAACGAGGAGTTTGCCCCAAATACTGTGCAGTCGATGGAGGAGTATTCTTCGAAGATGGAACTCGTCGTTAAACAAACATTTCAGATTATTACGTGATGAAGATGTAAGCAAATGGACGATGCTTAGAAAAAAACTTTTCCATGATTCAGTGTACACACACTGATTTTTGTATAATCTCGACACTTCATCTGTTAGTTAGATGGAACTGCGTTGATCCCAGCAAAGGTACGATATACGTTGAGGTGGCTTTGCATCCGACCTAAAGTTTTCCCAACCCTGCTTCTCTTACGGACCCAACCTTCTAAGTAAAAAGTCCACGCGAAACGCCTTCTATTCATAGCGTTAGCTGCGTTTATACTTTGCGGCAGCGTAGCGTAGCGCTTCCAGCGTACGCCAGCGGCAGTGCCGAAGAGAGGATGCATATCGATCTAGCTTCACCAGCGTCACCAGCGGCACGCTGTACGCTGGTGAAGCTAGTGAAGCTACGCCAGCGGTCACGCTTAGCCTCGTCGCTGCAAGCGCTAGCGGGGCTAGAGAGCACTGAACGGAGGAGAGTACTTTGTACTCTCCTCCGTCCAGTGCTCTCTAGCCCCTCTCTAGCCCCGTCGCTGGAAGCGCTGGGAAAACGCTGGAGAAACGCTGGTGAAGCTAGATCGATAGCTATGCTTCCCGTGCCCTCGCTACGCCAGCGTGCCGCTGGTGACGCTGGTGAAGCTAGATCGATATGCATCCTCTCTTCGGCACTGCCGCTGGCGTACGCTGGCAGCGCTACGCTACGCTGCCGCAAAGTATAAACGCACTTTCCGACCTCATGCCGAGCACACAGCCGATGAATTCGGCAGCGAAAAGTCCAGACCCAAGTTCACCTAAGACTCCACCGGTCGCAGGTACTGCTGGTACTAGCGCTAGTAGGGCGACCGAGTCTCACCTGAGCTCATTGTGTTGTATTACTCGAATTCTTGTCATAGATTTCGCTGCTATGACAGGTCGCATTCTGATAAAAACGGCAAAAATATTCGCGCAAATACTCATTGTAATCGATAGATGGCCGATTTCGGTTATTCATTTTTGCTTTTGCCTACGAGATCTAAATGGATTTACAAGTTCGTTTTATGGATGTCAGTTCTACGCATAGGGGCAAGTTGCATCAAAGTCGTTCTTAGTTATGCTAACCAGTCTGGTGCCTGCAAAGTGGAGTGATTATGACAATAATGCTGCTTTTCGCTGCTTTCTCCACCTGTAAGCATTAAAAGGGATGCTTGATGAAGAACAGAAATCATTCCTATGCTGGCGTTCTCTGTACTTGCTACAATGCGGTTTTATGAAGCGAATAGGGAGGAAACACAACGCTTGACCCGGCTTCTATTGAACTTTATTCAAGGTCCTACCTCAGCCTCTGTGGGCAGTAGCGATTGAAATCAATTCATCGCTCTTTTATAAAAAAATTTTGTGGGTACTGGAATACGCTCATTCTGAGCCTGTCAGGTTTTTTGAGGGTTATCGAGTTGCCGCATTCTATATGCATCAAATGAAGTCAGTCAGTTAGTCACAGCATCTCTGTTCCATAAGAAATTTGAGCTTTAGTCTCTTTATCCGAGCCTTATTCTTCTTCAAATGCCATGGTGCTCCTTCTTATTGAGGAGTGTCACGGTTAAAACCCCCTCAGTCGATCCAATGAAATCGTGCGCATAAAGCGAACTGGTGGCGCAAAGCATCAGGCATCCTCTATGAATCAGTCCGCTGTTGGTCGTGGGCGTGTGTGGTGTGGCGGTGTCTGTCTGGTCTATGTAGCCGACGGAAATTTCATGCGGCCGGTCCGAAGTAACAGTGAGACATTGGTTTCAGGAAGTGACGTAGGGGGTTTGACGGGAACACTATTGGTGGGTGACAGGAAGTGATAACAGTTGATAGGATCCGATAACAGGCCTTGAGATGGGGGGGGGCTCACCATATAACCGAAATGAACAGGATCAGCTAGCTCTTGACCTAAAGGATAATGATATAGTTGGTAGGGCTAGGAACATCAATTGTGGGTCCACGAAAAATTGTATAACTGCTGATAAGATCGAACCGATAAGAGAGGCGTGTCGACAGGTGAGGTGATCGCAGATTTATAAGAGTCACAGCTTCGAGGCGCAGACGATACTGTTTTAAGCAAGCTGAAAGGGCTGAGGATGGGGAATCAACCGTGGGCGGGACTGGGAAGCGCGTAACACTGATAGGCTCATAAGGGGATCGTCCCGTCGACGCCTGCCTTAAGGAGTGGTGTTCGAAGAACCGCTATACCAAATCACGAGAGATATCAGTGATGAGGACACAGATGTGATGGCGGGTGATCCGGAACCGAGTCGATGCAGAACGCGATAAGATACCATCTGGCGCGACGCATGTTTTGTCGTTATTTACGCGATAATGCATTATTGTAGAGGGTCAGTGTGGTGAGGAACTCATTATTCGGAGCTGTCACGAAATCCAGGTCGTACCATTGAGGTGTTGCTAAGATGTGTGAAATTAGTCAGTCTCGGGGGTATGTAGTGCGGTCTGGAAACGGATAAATGGAATTTCTCGAGTGAATCAAATTTGTTTTTCGCTAAATTTGCCCTGCTATGTTGGTGCTGCTTACGGCAAAATCTGCGGATCGCATGGATAAACAAATATAGGAGGAGCCCAACAATGCATCGTGCAAATTCATTGTCGCTCATGCGCGGCGTCGACTTTCGCCCTACCATTGCTAATCGCGCTTCCCAATGAGTACAGCTGAGAAGTTTTGTGGGCATCAAGCGAGTAGAAATTAATGAGTGTAGTTCTTTGTCATAGCATAATATTTCCAAACCATTGTCGATGTCTCATCGGAGTTTGAAAGTATTTTACTTTCGGTGGATTCAGGGAAATAATCAGCATTGTGGCATGTTGAATAAGGGTGGCCGGCCCTTAGACTTTTTCCGAGCTACGGACTGATGAATAATCGTGACTTGATACGCCCCTTGTGGATATCTTACGAGGAAATCAGTTTGTGCGGCTGGGGAATAGTGTTAAGAGGACTGAGCGACTTGTGCATACGCTTCGAACTGGTATGCTCTTGATATGTGGTTTCTGTTTCAGGGCTACACTTGGCGAGGAGTGTTTTTTGCTAGCTTTGCTTTTCTTGATCTGCTTTTTTCTCTCCACTAGTCGAGTTAAGGAGCTGTGTCGTTGTATTACGTGCAAACCCTTTATCTGTGATGCTACTGATCGCGGACCTTGCCTTTAATCTGAAGTGCTGCATCCGTTTTAGTTCTTCCTCAAGAACTGCGATCAGAGTCCTTATCAGAGAGCGTGGCTTTGTTGCACGCGGCCTTTTCACCACTGAGGAGAGAGCCGCCATCGGTTGAGCGAGACTGTCACAAGAGTTCGCAGGTTTAACCTGGATCGAGGCGACGGATTCGAAAAGTCGCTCTCGTAAAGTAGGAAATAGTAAGCGCAAAGATTAACTTCGTGCAGTATGGGGTAAGCGGGTAAGGCGACAGGTCCACGATTCGATGGATGAAAAAAATGTCACAATCGCAGAGCGCCTGTTGGGTCTCGCTATCACCGATGCCGCTTTAGAGACCGCTAAGTTGTCCGGGGCTATTGATCTTCACTGATCTTTGAGGAGAAACTGTACGCTTGCCTCCGTGAATCGCTGTCCTTGCCATGTACGAGGTAGGGGTCCGCAGTTGCAGTAGCGTGCCACTTTCTACGCTCGAAAGTGCAGGAGGTGGAGCTGGAAGTTGGTGATTCTGGCTGATATCCCGAATCCAGTGCTCCAAAGTCTCCCCAACAATGCCCAGTGCAAATGTATCGTGATCCGCCAAACCTCCAAATTAATTGAAGAAGTCATTCAAAACGAAGGTCATGCATACTTAAAGCACAGGAATTCGCATGTCATCTCCAAAATTCGGGAATAGAGATCGCTATCACCAACTGGATTCAGCGGGATATCACACGTACACCTAGACGACCGCTGAACTGGTGGTCATACTGTGTGATAGTCTGAACGAGTGGTATAATGGGGGGCCACGAAGCTGCGGTCGTCATGAACCGGGAGTTCATCCTAAAGAGTTGCTTTAACCTGGTTCTGGAGAAATCCAACTTACGCTTTGAGACGTGAGATCGCTCTTCGTAAACAAAAGGTCAGGTCGAGCTTCACGCAGTAGAGCTTTAGCAGCGGAACAGCTCATATATTGCTCCTTCCAGATGCTAGTTGTTTCCTGGATCAAGACGTCACAATTAGTTACGACTCGGGCCCACCTCAAATTCAAGCTGATATCTTATTTTGTGTGTTGTTTGTTGTACATTGTAGGTATGGCTTTCATAAGGTGCTCAAACATTGACAAGATCCCAGATAAAGACGACAAGATCGAAGCGTCAGTCGAATAAAGTCGAGTTACTCTGAGTTGGCTAACAGTCAACATAATTTGGCTAGCTCACACTGTGGATCACATAGGGAACATTCCAACATAGGGAACACTGACAGGGTATCTCCAGTCTGAACATTTGAACACACTTTTCTATTTAGAATGACTGCGACCTCCTTCTCTAGAAACACGATCTCTATTTGAAACACACGCACCTTTCGTGCCGTTTGTACCCCGCTCCGGTCGACAACCCTATTAACCAGGTGCAGATATGTATGCCAGATGTCACTGTCCCTAAATCTTTATGATTAGATAGCGTGAAAGCTGTTTAATCGTGACGAGCGACGACATGTCAGCGCTTCTTATGAGCTCCTATATGTTCTAATCACTTTCTGGTAACCCAATCAAAATATCTCTTCTCATACCCCATATCATATCTTGGGACCAAGATAGCACCGTTGCTGTAACCGCGCTGTGTTTGCTGCCTCTAATGCCCATTATCATATGTTATCAGCTATTATCACTTCATGTCTCCCACCACTATTATCATCTCTCGAACCAGCATCCCGCTCTTTCTGGAAACCGCTGCCACGATTCCACGCCACGCACACACACCTAGCGGATTATATGTAGCAGGATTACTTGGAGACAGAGACTCCAGACTCAAACTCTGAGGCTCTCACGACTAAGACTAT